AGACAGACACACGGAGTGTTTTGGCAAAACAGAAAAATCATGCTATAGAAACTATCTGTAGCTATGGCAACAGTCTCTGATTTTTCCCCTCATAGAAATTTCTGGTGGAAGCTGCCTTCCTGTTTTTCCCATGAAAGGCATTCCTGTTTTCCCATTTCCAGAGTGCCGTCAAATAACTTTTCTGGGTTTTCATTAAGGCCAGGTCTTCTTTCTGTTAGACCTCTCATTGTCCCTGTGCAGCCTCTCTGACTACCCTGTTTCCATATCTGAGAAAGCCTTGTGGCAGGACTTTCCCCTGGGAATGGATGTGTAGGACGTGGGCTGCAAAAGGAAACAGCTAATTCCTCTTGATCTTAGATCAGTTTTCTCAAGATGTGTGGACTTCAACTCCCAGAATTCCCCAGCCAGCTATACTGTCAGGAATTCTGGGAGTTGAAGTCCACTCATCTGAAAAGTTATCAATGTTGAGAAACACTGCATTAGATAATTGCAAGACTTCCTTGTCCTTCCCCTGCCAATTGGATTTCTTTCTTTTTAAAACCAATGTTTAAATTTATTTTAAATTTTTAATGCATTTATTTATTTATTTCCTGGTCTTATATTCTGAATTCTTGGAGGCCTTGTTCTGTCAGTAAGATTTAAAATATAAGTAAATACTTACTGTTGCCTAGGAACAAAATAAGTACTCTATTTAAATAAACCCCCGGACCGCAAGATAATAATTCAGAGCATATCCATTTGAAACCTGTGGGAAAAATCAGGTTTAATACCCTTTGAAAACCCATCAGTGACTGCATTATATATCACACAAGGGTGATCAAATGCACAGTATGTAAGTGTACTTGAGGAAGATGGGCAGTCTAGAAATATGAAATACAAATAAATGAATAAAGTGTTCAGATTATGACTAGTACTTAGTACTTATTAAATAATTTTAACCCTTATCTAAATACTTTTGTTCATTACCCCAAAACCCCAAGGGTAGCTTATTTATGATATCAAAGCAGTAACGTACCTACTGTTAGGAAATATAAAATATATTAAAAAGATAATTGGTGTATCTTGCAACCCTTCCAAAGATCATCACAAAACACCTGTCAGGGAAATTAATTTCAGCCTTGGAATCCTGAAGCAATGTGATGGTTGAGTATATAAATATCACTTAAAACAGTGTTTTCCAGCCTGGACAACGTTTAAGACGTGGATTTCAACTCCTAGGATTCCTGAAGCAGAATTTCCCACTCTCAAAATTCCATGGATGGCTGGAGAATTTGGGGAGTTGAAATCCATAGGTCTTAAAAGTTACCAAGATTGAGAAATGCTGACTTAATATGTGGTAATATGGGGCCCCACCTACCAGTTTATATATTTAAGAAATGAAGGAAACAAGGAGAGATTGGGCCCAAGTTACCCAGCCAACATGCCTAAAGTAGAACTGGAACTCACAGACTTCTGGTGATTGGCCCAAAGTCACCCAGCCAGCTTTCTTGCCTAAGGCAGGATTAGAATTCACAGCCTCCTCATGGCTAACCCAAAGTCAGTCAGCTGGTTTTCATGTTTAAGGTGGGACTAGAACTCATGTCCTCCCAAGTTTCTAGCCTGGTGCCTTAGCCAGGAGACCAAGCTGGCTCTCTAAAAATAAAGTTTATAGACTGTTAGTCCTGGATCATCACACCTGCCTTTTCCTTTCCTTTTCTCACCAGAAGCAAGCTTGCATGTTGATTCGCAACTTGGTCTCGCATACGCAGGACTTCTCCCAGCCCATCCTGGAGATGGGAGCTGAGGACTTGATCACTGAGGCCCGAGAAGCCCATCGGGACTGCGATGACGTGGCCAAAGCTGCCTTGAGGGACCTGGGCTGCAAGGTGGAGCTGCGGGAACTCTGGACTGGCCAGAAGGGAAGCCTGGCCCGTTGAGGTCTCTGTCCCCTCCACTGGGCAGCACCTGCGAATGAGGAGTAGGAGAGGGAAGCAAAAGATTGGAATAAATCCAGACTGAGCAGTTGAGAGCGGGTTAAAAGTGTATTGATGCCTTTGGAGTTGGATAGGGCTTAGTTGCTACAGCAGGAGGCCTGCGCTCCATACTCTCTTGCGTTCTTGGCTTCTTGGCCCAGGCTGCCCTTTTGCTGTGTTTTGTTGGCAAAGTCCATGAAGCGGCCCTTCTCTCATAAACAGGGTGGCAGTGCTGTGCCAACGATGCCGCCCTGCAACAATGCTTCCATGTTCAAGAACGGGAGACGCCTGCGGTGCGTGTACGAAACTCTAGCGCCTGTACAAATTGTCTCAAAAGATTTTAGCGACAAAAGAGAGGGTGGAAGAGCAGGTGGTGGGAACTCATGTTTTGCTACTGTCTCGGAATACTTCCCTCTCCTGCCCTGCAGGTTTGTGTTACTCAACTAGGCCTTTGTTACTATGACAACGGTTAAGCTTACCAGCTTCCTGCTGTAATGCTTCCATTTGTTTGAATGTGCTGCCTGAAGTCCTGGTCTGTTTTTTGTCCTCAGCCATTCCAGTTGTTTCTGTGTGTCATCATGCTGTTCAACCAATGCATGCTGCCTTTATTTTTTCTCTAATTGCTCCCGCCCTCAATTTTTTTTTATAATAGAAGTGTCACCTGATTAAGGGCAAAAAAAGAGGTTGAATAGTGTGGGATCCTTGCATTGTGCACTTCGTAAATATCTGTACTCCCTTTGAACATGTATTCAAATCAAATTTCTAGCCCACGAGGGCTGTGGTTGGTGTGCACTCCAAGAGGTCAGAAAAGAATGACCTTTTATTTATTTATTTTCTCTTCCTTTTTCTGCCTTCCTCTCCTTGTGATTAGTAAAATCCAGGATGAATTAGTTCTCCAAAATGGGACTATTTAAATAAACCAGTGTAATTAATGCAAGTGTTTTAACTTTCCTTGATGTAGTTTTGGTTGCCTGTGGAAAAATTGCCAGATATGTTATATAAAAATATACACGATCCTATTTATAGCCAGGTTGCTTCTATTGTGACCTAGCTTTGATTTTTTCTCTCTCTTTTGCTCATAAACCAGAGTGATATACATATACTTCATTCTGGACATTATTTAACCAGATAGGCAGGTGAAATGATTGTTATAGCCCAATGTTGCAAACTCCCAACAGTGATTTCCTCGGTCAGGGGTGTCAAACTCGCAGCATCACGGCACGTAAGTCTTCCCTATTGCCTATTCCCTGATCTGTCACGGCTTCCAGTTTGTGGCAACTCCGACGGAACCGTGACATGATCCTCATGAATTAGTGATGTGCAGAATCTGTCCTGCAAAGAAAGAATGACACACAATGTTGCCACATTGAATTATATTCCTTTTCCTAAAGATCGTCATTTTCCCAGTTCCCATTAAAGGGCTGATTTAAACAGGAAAGCATCTTTCATCAGCTGTAAATAAGTCAATATTGTTTATTGTGGCAGTTGATTTTTTTCGCGTGGCTCTTTTATATCTGTTGCCTGATCCCCTTAACTGGAGGATCCAGGGCTTCAACATGGAGATTTCCTGTAATCTGTTTCTGAAATGAGGCCTGAAGGAATCAGTATATAAGCATACAGGTGGTCCTTGTCTTACAGTCACTTAGCAACAATATCAAGTGAGTTACTCAAGATCAAATGAGGTACTAATACCACTCTATAAAGTCTTAGTAAGATCACACCTAGACTAGAGTACTGCATCCAGTTTTGGTTACCACATTATAAAAAAGATGTTGAGACTCTAGAAAAAGGGCAGAGAAGAGCAACCAGGATGATTAGGGGACTGGAAACTAAAACATACGAAGAACGGTTACAGGAACTGGGCTTGGCTAGTCTAGTGAAGAGAAGGACCAGAGGACACATGATAGCAGTCTTCCAAATCTGAGGGGCTGCCACAGAGAGGAAGAGGGTTCAAGCTATTTTCTAAAGCGGCTAAAGGCCAGACTAGGAATAATGGATGGAAACTGAACAAGGAGAGATTTAACCTGGAAATAAGGAGAAACTTTCTGACAGTGAGAACAATCAACCCATGGAACAGAAGTTGCCCTCGGAAGTTGTGGAAGCGCCATCACTTGAGACTTTCAAGAAGAGATTGGACTGCCATCTGTCAGAAATGGTGTAGGGTCTCCTGCTTGGGAAGGGGGTTGGACTAGAAGACCTACAAGGACCCTTCCAACTCTGATTATCTCTTATTTGTTCAAAGTGACAGCTTACCTGCAAAACAAGAGCTATGACCTGGTTCTGAAGTTTTAATAGTTTGGGGGGGGGGAGGGCATTTGAGGTCATATGACCATACTTTGTGCACCCAGCAACACAACATTTATGGGCTTTTGCAGTATTCTGTGGTCACATGACTGCATTTTATGACAAGTAGCTTCCGATTTTCAACAAAACACTATAGCGACCAAAAGCATGGTGTTTTATGACCACCACAGAAAAGGTAAAATCGGATTGATTGACCAACCCAATATGCAAGTGTCACAACATATGACCATAACAGGCTGGCTCCATTAAGGTTGTAAGTTGAAGACTGCTTGTAGTTGATAGCACAAGGTCTAGACATTTAAGCATGTAATTTATCTTCCTTTTCACCCTTAAAGGAATTGACTCCAGTTTTGATATGCCAGAGCATATGAAGTTACAGGTAATTCTCGATTTACAACAGTTCATTTTAGTGACCATTCAAAGTTACAAGAGCACTGAAAAAAGAGATTTATGACCATTTTTCACACTTATGATTGTTGCAGCTTATCAGTGGTCAAGTGATAAAAATTCAGATGCTTCAGACTCGTATTTATGACATTTGCAATGTCATGCGATCCCCTTTTGCAACCTTCTGACAAGCAAAGTCAATGGGGAAGCCGGATTCACTTAACAACGATGTTACTAATTTAACAACTGCAGTGACTCATTTAACGACTGGAAAAAAAAGGTTGTAAAATGGGCCAAAGTTCACTTAACAAATATCTCACTTTGCAATAGAAATTTCAGGCTGAATTGTGGTCCTAAAGTTGTGGACCACCTATGCTGCAAAACAATCGAGTTCTTTTCCTTTCCCATGGCTGATATGCTAACCTACTTCTAGAAGAACCTTTAGCAAATGTTGATGATTCTAAAGAGGAATATACACCGCTCAAAAAAATAAAGGGAACACAAAAATAAGACATCCTAGATCTGAATGAATGAAATATTCTTATTAAATACTTTGTTCATTACATAGTTGAATGTGCTGACAACAAAATCACACAAAAATTATCAATGGAAATCAAATTTAGCAACCCATGGAGGTCTGGATTTGGAGTTACACTCAAAATTAAAGTGGAAAAAAACACTACAGGCTGATCCAACTTTGATGTAATGCCCTTAAAACAAGTCAAAATGAGGCTCACTAGTGTGTGTGGCCTCCACGTGCCTGTATGACCTCCTTACAACGCCTGGGCATGCGCCTGATGAGGTGGCGGATGGTCTCCTGAGGGATCTCCTCCCACACCTGGACTAAAGCATCCCCCAACTCCTGGACAGTCTGTGGTGCAACGTGGCGTTGGTGGATGGAGCGAGACATGATGTCCCAGATGTGCTCAATTGGATTCAGGTCTGGGGAACGGGCGAGCCAGTCCATAGCATCAATGCCTTCATCTTGCAGGAACTGCTGACACACTCCAGCCACAGGAGGTCTAGCATTGTCGTGCATTAGGAGGAACCCAGGGCCAACCGCACCAGCATATGGTCTCACAAGGGGTCTGAGGATCTCATCTCGGTACCTAATGGCAGTCAGGCTACCTCTTGGGAGCACATAGAGGGCTTTGCGGCCCCCTAAAGAAATGCCACCCCACACCATTACTGACCCACTGCCAAACCGGTCATGTTGGAGGATGTTGCAGGCAACAGAACATTCTCCACTGCGTCTCCAGACCCTGTCACGTCTGTCACACATGCTCAGTGTGAGCCTGCTTTCATCTGTGAAGAGCACAGGGCGCCAGTGGCAAATTTGCTAATCTTGGTGTTCTCTGGCAAATGCAAATTGATGTTGTGTAAGCACAACCCCCACCTGTGGACGTCGGGCCCTCATACCACTTTCATGGAGTCTGTTTCTGACGGTTTGAGCAGCCACATGCACATTTGTGGTCCGTTGGAGGTCATTTTGCAGGGCTCTGGCAGTGCTCCTCCTGTCCCTCCTTGCACAAAGGCGGAGGTAGCGGTCCTGATGCTGGGTTGTTGCCCTCCTACGGCCTCCTCCACGTCTCTTGATGTACTGGCCTGTCTCCTGGTAGCGCCTCCATGCTCTGGACACGACGCTGACAGACTCAGCAAACCTTCTTGCCACAGCTCGCATTGATGTGCCATCCTGGATGAGCTGCACTATCTGAGCCGCTTGTGTGGGTTGTAGACTCTGTCTCATGCTACCACTAGAGTGAAAGCACCGCCAGCCTTCAAAAGTGACCAAACCATCAGCCAGAAAGCATAGGAACTGAGAAGTGGTCTGTGGTCACCACCTGCAGAACCACTCCTTTATTGGGGATGCCTTGCTAACTGCCTCTGCTTTCCACCTGTTGTCTATTCCATTTGCCACAACAGCATGTGAAGTTGATTGTCAATCAGTGTTGCTACCTAAGTGGACAGTTTGATTTCACAGAAGTGTGATTGACTTGGAATTACATTGTGTTGTTTAAGTGTTCCCTTTATTTTTTTGAGCAGTGTATTTGTCATCTTTGAATGGGGAGTGTCTTAACTCTGGAATTTGGGGTTAATTATGGACGGTGGGGGATGTGGCTAATCCCAAAATGCCCTTTTACCAGAAGGCAAATTTGTGAAGTTGCTTCCTGGCATTTCATCTTCTCCCCTTCTCTAGTCACACATGGTCTCTGCCATCCTATCTTCACGCTTTCTCCTGGCAAGGGCAAATGGTTGAGTTGCATCTCCCAATCTTTTTTTTTTTTTTTTAATTATCTGAGGTGGCCTGTAGGGCACAGATGCTGCCTTATTCATAAGGGTAACATGGAAACTGCAGATTTGTAGCATTTTAAGAAAACCAAAAGAGAAAGGGTACCTGGTGAGAAAGAAGTTCTTTGATATATCTTGTGGGCACCTGATTAAAGAGTCCAGCTATAGGTTCTATATAGACTGCAGGACATACTTCAGATGGTAAAAGACTGGGCAGAGCAGTTCTAGAAAGATATAAAACCAACCTTTTTCTCTACTAGGGAGGTACATAAAAAAAACTTTCCAGATGTTCTTGGCTTTATTAAATGTTACCACTGGAATTGCAGGGACATTCCATAAAAATTGGCTCAGCAGGTAAAATTGCCTTCTGATTGAGAACCCTATTTGGAAAAGCCTCTAAATCAAGGGTCTTCAAACTTGGCAAGTTTAAGACTTGTGGACTTCAACTTCCAGAATTCCTGAGCTAACATGACTGGAGGAGGAATTCTGGGAGTTGAAGTCCACAAGTCTTAAAAGTTGCCAAGTTCGAAGACTCCTGCTCTAAATAGTTCTCCCTGGCTATTTATTCACATTGCAGGCTTAAAGTAATTAATTGTTAGAATGAATTAAATGAGCATCTTGATTAACTGCATTGTGTTTCTTTTTATACAACACACTGAAACATAAATGAACCACATAGAGTCAGTTTGCTCAACAGTCAGGCTAATGTGTGATTGACTATTTTGTAAGACTATGCCATGCAGTCTAACTGCACGTATATGGGTAAAAAGTTATTTCTGAGCCAAGAAATAGTCCTTTCGTAGACATGGAACGGTGGGTTGTGCTGAAAACTGGCTTTGAAAGGCAATTGAACGGTAGTGGTTGTGTAATCTTAGAAATATATGTCATTTACAGAGTTCCCATATGTATTCCAAATTAGAGTCTCCTCTTCAAATTTATATTTTTCACAGCCCTAATGCTAGCAAGCATCATCTTAAAACAGAGCTTTCTTGTAAGATGAAAAGGAGGGTGTTTTTTTTAAATTAATG